GGTAGATTTGACGAACTGGTTCTACTGAATAGGTGCGAAATGGTAGGAACCCACCTCCGCTTCACACCCTGCTCTACCTTATATGGTATATGGTGACACTAAACCATATACCACAGCCAGTCATCATAGCACAAAGCTCCCACATTCTGCAGGCCCACCCAGATCCACCTGAAATAGTTCCTAACCTTTCTTCCTAGCGTTAATGAGGTGTTTCCCCGGCTGCTGGATTGCCAGGCCTTCTTCCCAAGCCATTTGTGGTGTACTTCAAATAGCACACACCATTCTCCAATTAGTGAGTTTTCTTCCTGTAATGCTTCAGAAGGTTTCTGAGGCCTTCTGAAATTTCATAAGAAGATTGCGCACAATTTGAAAAACAGCACTGCGCTATTTGAGAACCACTTGGAGAAAAGCTAACAAGGAAACAACAAAAAGTCCTTCTCTCCAGCAGCCAACTCAGATAAGCATATATTAACACCAGGCAAACAATCAGGCAGAAAATAATACTCTAATCAAGGAACTACCAGGAGAAGCGATACCCCCACTAACACAGGCAGGGCAAGCTATTGTATATAAGCAGGGAGCAAACTCCACTCTCACATGCACTGATGATATTACCTAGTTGGGTAATGAAACATCTTCAAGCAAATAGCCAAGCTCAGAGAACACCAAGGGCTCCGCAGTTCAGCCCTGAGTTACACAGATTCTCTTGCATGTACTGTTAAAATAATTTGTGTAACACAATTTAAATTCTGCCGCTACATGAATATATAAATCATTGTTCTTGCTTCAAAATCTTTTCTAAAAAATGCAGTGGAGTAAGAAGAAAAGGAATGAGCACAAACAGTTCAGTTCTGCAAATATTGAGATTCCGTTTCATACCTTTTGATTGCAATTAATATAAATGACTATATATTGTATGACAAATAATACTTCCCCCCTTCTATACTTGGTGTTTTTTTCATGAATAAAAGGGACCTCGGTTTTATAGCTCAGCCACCAAAAACATCTTTTGCTTGAAGAAAGTTCCAATTTCCATAATTTCCTGGAAAAATGTCTTCTGAAATCCTGGCGGGCCATAACTAATCCGTTTTAGAGGATATCGGGTACATGCTTCAGTAGATTGAGACAGTGTAAGGCAACCTCCTAAAGTGCCTGTGTTATTTACATTTTGCAATCTTGTTTTAAAAATTTGTCTTTAAAATTAAAAACTGTCTTAAAAAATTTAGGCCTTGCTGCTCTGTAGTGCTAAAATAAATAACTTTGTGGGCGTTACTTTGTAGTCTTACTGGCAGTGTCCTGAGTCTTAGTAGTAACTCCAAGCCTGTATTCATTGTATTAACACATTTTTCGAGCAACTACCGTGTTCCCCTGAAAATAAGACAGGGTCTTATTCCCCCCCCCGAAATAAGCGCTTGGCCTTATTTTTGGGGGGAGATTTTATTATTTTTGAGGTGCAGGAGGCGGAGAGTGTGGTCACCTCATGGCGGCTGCTGCTGTGTTGAAATATTTTCAGGGATGTCTTATTATCCAGGGAGGTCTTATTTTCAAAGAAACAGGGTAAAGATAGTTCACTAGGTGCATCTTATATTCCAGTGGTGTCAAACTCCACTGGAACCTCTGGAACGATCTTCCCGTGGAGATCCGGACCCTCATCACCCTTCAGGCTTTCCGCAAAGCCGTTAAGACCTGGCTGTTCCGGAGGCCTGGGGCTGATGAGTTCCCAGACCCACTCGAATTGTTGCGGCTGTTGCTGTGTTTTAACTTGCTTGTTGTTGTTTTTTTCTTGCTTGTATTCCCCTTCAGCTCTGCTTGTTAGACGCCCTGAGTCTCTTGGGAATAGGGGGGCATACAAATGGAATAAACATTTCAAACATTTCAAACTCAAGGCCCACGGACCAAATCCGGCCTGCGGGGTGCTTCGATTTGGCCTGTGGCACTAGTCTGAAAATAGCAAAGGACCGCCCTGCAGTGCCTGTACTAGCAAAAATGGAGTGTGGGAGGGGCACACCCCCCCCACAACCGCTTTTGGCCTCCAGACTACCGCAGGAGGTCTTCCCGGCTCAAAATGGGGCCTCTGGAGTGCTCCAGAAGGCTGTTCTTCACTCAGAACAGTGTTTCTCAACCTTGGCAACTTGAAGATGNGTCTAACTGCTATTGCTATTGCTATTGCTATAATTCAGGTCCTCCTGTAGCCTTATAATTCCTGGCAGAGGCTATTTTTGATTGCTCCTTTAAACTGTCAAGCAGTATTTGATCCATTCACTCTTTTGGAAACAAATGACACACCTGGAATAGGCTTGGAAGAGCACTTTTATGGATTTCAAGAGCACTCTAAATGGTAGACTATCTAGCCATCCTTTGAATTTAGCTGGAAATTTTGGAAGTGGAATCCCAGCATATCTGGAAAGGCATTAAGTTAAAAAAAAGCTGATCTGTATTCTTACTAACATTTTCTCTTGATATCGTGTTATATAAAATTGGGCTATTTTCAAAATACAGCATTCTGTTTATAGCAATAGCAATAGCAGTTAGACTTATATACCGCTTCGTAGGGCTTTCAGCCCTCTCTAAGTGGTTTACAGAGTCAGCATATCGCCCCCAGGAGTCTGGGTCCTCATTTCACCCACCTCGGAAGGATGGAAGGCTGAGTCAACCTTGAGTCGGTGAGATTTGTTCCTTACACCTATTAGCTCTTCGGTGCCGGGCATCCTGGAACAACTCACTGCTGATGTCCGGATCACTCTCCCTCACTGCTGACGTCCGGATCACCCTCCTCCCCACTGGTCCAAGGCTCAGGCTCCTCCTGGTGGACAACCAGCCTCTCTGCGCCCTGCTCGGAGTCAGAACCCTGTCCAGGGTCCTCCACATCCTCCAGAGCCGACTCAGAGGGGCCCTCGCTGTCGGAATCTGGTGGTAGCTCCAACGGCTCCTGCTGGGCCACAACACCTATCTGTAGATTTTTGACCGCTATTTATTAACAAAATGAAACCCAAATTTCAGAAGCAACATTCTGATAGCATTCATTCTTGGAGACAACCTGGCAGCAAATTTTCTCTCTTGGTGGGTTTTAGAAGGCATATGTTGGGGAAACGTATGCTAGCTTTTACAGAATCATATTCCAATCCGGCAGAGTTGTTTTTATGTTCACTAAATTTAAATATGACCCGTATGTATGTAGGGTGGTACTTCTGCAAAATGTAGGCTTCTATGTTGGGTGCAATCACATTTGCATCAAGTGAGATTTTAAGTAAATTATAGCCAAAGAAACTGTTTTTGACTTCCAGTGTGGCTGAGAGCAGAGTGAAGAGTAACAGCCCAGTCCGACTATCTGAAACGAGTGTGGGGCAGACAAGCCAAACAACTGAAGCCGAACAACGTAAGAAATTTTAAGATTTTGTGGGTGTTCATAACCTCTTATTATCTGTCCTAATGCAGGACTTGGAAATCAGATCCTGAAAACTTCAGTATATTGTTGGTCAGATGTATCTAAGGTTCTGTCCTAACCCCACAACAAATCTAATGGAAATATTGTTTTAATAAATTTAATAAGTATTTAATAAATTTATAGGCCGTCCAATCCCGAAGGACTCCGGGCGGCTTACAGAAATACATTTTTTNCATGCTTTGAACCTGCTAGGTGGGCAGGAGCTGAGGCATCTAACAGGAGCTCACCAAACTGCACATTGCTCAGATCTCAAACTCAAGTTGTCAGCTCTCCACCTGACAAGTCAGTGTCTTTAACCATTGATCCATCACACCACCATTAATATTTGTTACACTGAAATTTAAGAACATTTAATGTTTGCCCTATTTCCTTCCACTTTAAGAAATACTCTTGGTGTGTTATTGAAAGGCTGAGAATTGCCCTCAGGCCTCAGATTTATGCAATCCCTCATGAGCCGTGAAATCCAGTGGAGACTGCTTATTCTGAAAGCCTGAATCTTGTCACTTTTGCAAAGTCAGTCTTTTACATTATCTGATTCTGTCTTCCCTGAGTTTTATCCACCCTAGAAAAAACATATACCCCAATTAGTTAGAACACTACTAGAAAAATCAAAGGTTTTCATAAAGTGCAAATAATGGAACTTCTGTGCTTTGGTGGTATGTGTGCTCCATATGTATATGTGTGTGTTTGTAAGTTCTACTTGTTCACAGCCCATCAGTCATTCTATGACCATACTTGGGTTGCAACTATCTGATGGAATGTAAAATAAAGTTCACTTTAAGGTCTAATATATTATATTTACAATCATGCTCACTCTTGAAAGTGTCACCCTCTTCTTTCAAGCATCTATCAAACCTTAAAAATACAAAAATAAAACCTAGATTCATGAAAAGGCTAAGGCATTTCAGGAAAAATCAACTTGTAGAATCCCTGAAACAGCAAATGCCAACAACAACTACTGTGGCCATCTGGAATTAAACTCATTTTCTATTCAATTGATCTCTTGTATCTTACTAATTTTTTTTATTTTTCATTTATTTTTGTTTCCTTATGAAATCATTATTCAAAAGCAATGAATAGAATGTGA